AGTTTGTCTTGAGGGTAAAATATTAATCGATTGGAAGCAAGTTACAACATGTAAACCAATATTCTACGCCGTGTTGCCAACTTATATTTGCAGTCAAAATTATCCTGTACCTTTTGTATTTAATGTAGATAAGGGCTAAAATTTTGTTTACCTTATCATCACGGAATGATACAAAAACGATACCCCTCACATCGAGTAATTTTGTCAAATTACTGGAGATATCATTTTTGATTTGGGTACCGAAAACAATACAAAACCTTTTGTGTAATTTGACACCGACCGCTGACGTAACTAATAAAATTTAGCGGTCACAGCGACCCAATCGTATAAAAAAGTAGCACGACGAACATTCTATTATATTTAGTAATATGAAGTATCCTTATTCTATAAATCATATTTTACTGCTCTTTAATGTTTAAAAAATATATTTAAATCGTATAACATAGATAAAATCCATTAGGTTTTATAAACAAAAACAAATCATACTTATCGTACACTTACGATCTGGTAGCTATTTCACACTGATTATACAAAAAAATAAATGGTATGTGTCATAAAAATATGCGTGTCGGACAACGCGTCACCTTAGAATGCGTCCCCTAAACGCCGCTTAATCCTTTAAAACAATGCTAATGGATCCACTGTTAAAGTACACCGCCCCAAGTCCTGTCAGCGTATAATACATCCCACTGATCGCCTTAACGCTTCGCTCACCAACAATTAAGTTGACACTAAATAAAACTGTTTTATTCTATATCAAAATACAATACATATTAAATAAATATTATATTATACGCGTTCACTGGACGCATTTTAGTGTGAGCGATGAACACGGGTTCACGTCAAAACATCTTTATCGGGTTATTTGTCTTATAAAATATTATCGAGAGGCACTTCGGGACCGTCAGCAAAAGAGGACGCATAGTGTGATCCGTGCGATTGTTGACTTTACACCCACAATGATGTGATCACTTCTCATCGGGGCGAGACAAACAATGGAAGCGGCGATTACGAGCCTGGGATGTAACAAATACACTTTATTATTATAAGACGATGTTCGATTGGTATGACTTTGTTCGTTCGTTGTGTGAAAAGCTTCGCTCCAGACTGTACCATTGGAGATTAGTGCGCGAGCCGCTCACCCGCCCGTACCAAATACGACGCGACGGCTTGACTTATGAAGTACTGATATACTGATAAATCAATACATTTTATTGCGATAGCTCGAAAGCGTCATGATTTAATTCAATTAATAGGTCCGTTGAGAACTTATCATAATCATCTTGTTTGATCGTTCCGATTTAAAAAAAAACCAAGAAACATATGGCGTGTGTTATTATTTTCTGTTAGTTATAGCACATTATATGGTCGGTGGTTGTTAGATAAGTAAAAGCTGGGAACCGGTCGCGTCGGAAGAGGCGGGCATTCGTCGCCCTCCGCAATCACTTACTTGTCGCATTTTCATCACCTGCTGTGTTAAAAGTGACGTAATTATGGATGCAAATCGATCAGCGGTAGTTAACAACGCGACAAGGGTTGACGCAGTAAATTAGCACGATACGCCACTTAATATTTATTACTTTACTTTACGTGCTCATTAGACAATAATAAGAATTAATATATTAAAGTATGAATAATTTATCCAAAATTTTATATTTATATAATGTATTAAATAGAGAAAGAATTCTAAATATCAATCGACGTCGGAAGCGTGGATTCCATTTTTCATTCAGATGACTTGCATGTAGCAACTAGTGGGCATGTTCTCATTGACTCCGCTATTGACCCCCGACACAACAAAGATCATGATAATATAAATAATACTCACGAAATTCCCAAAGGTACAAACTACCAAATGTTAAATAACAATAAAGCAGTCAATACGGATCGAACCCCGGGGATTACTGTAGTTAAATGAATGGAATTTGCGAGTGGTAAGTATGTATATGTTAAACCTTAAATCGTTTCCTATATGTAGAAAAAATCATTGAAGTGAGAAAATGTTAAATGTAGTGGCAATATTTCAGATAATAATATCAATATTCTCTAAATTTTACATGATAAAATCGTATTTAAATGTTTATACATATTGTATAATGCCATATCGTTATGCGTATCTAAGTACGAATGTTTTTATTTCAATATGTCGACATGTGTACACACATACCTGAATAGAATCCATTATAGAAGACAATCCCGAGTGAATGAAGTGTAACGTTTCATTAACAGTGTTCTGTAAGTCAAGCAAACACAGAGAATTGGTGTCTTGTTTCAAAAGCCTTTTTTTAACGAAGTGAAAGGCGCCCGAGTCTCCTTTAAAACTTGTGGACTGTTTTCGTTAGCGTGCTTTGTATATCTATGGGAAAAAAATAAATTACATCTTTGTAAAGTATTTTTTTAACATTAGTTTTTATAAATACTAAATATGTTCTCCATCAAATGTGATCTTGGATATCATAAGACTTACATTAAAAAAAAACATAAAAATTGTTTTTGTTTCTATTTTATTATATACCTAATGTTTCATTTATAATACAAATAAAAATTGTGTAATAATAATAATGCATTCAATAAGTCCGTCACAGTATACAAAGGCATTAATATAACAAAGCGGCTATAAATGTACATAGGTTGATATTTTTCATGAACAAACATTAAGGTGCTTCAACAAACGAGTACAGGTGATCTTCTATGCATATTTATGACTTGTTCGACGTGTATGCGACAACATGGTTTACGGGCTACAAACAAATGTTTGTTCTATACCTTACTACCATTGTACACATTGTTGTATTCATTATGGAATACGTGTGAGCTACATCATTGTTTTTGTTAATTGATTCAATATTATATAATGATTTTTTTATTGGTAATAATAAATACATCTCTAAAACAAATATGGTACAGCTACTTACATCATACAAACCCGCTTACTTTGACCAACCAACACTCATACCTATAAAACAACCCTTACCTATTTGTTGTGGTTAAAAAAAAAGAACAAAAAAAAAACAAAATATAAAACATCAAAACCAGTCAGTATTGGTCGGTGCTTTCGACTCCTCACATTATACAAAAAAAGATGTGTTAAGGAATGTAAAGAGCCATTTAATTATCCTAATATATTATTACGGTCGCTTGGGGAGGCGGTGATAAATAAGTGAACTGTAAAACCATACTAAACTGGAGGTGGCGAATGAATGTTTGAATTAATTTAATTAATTCTCATTCTTTTTTAAATGGTATTTCACAGAAATGTTTTATATGCATATTCATTCAGCATGGTATATCGGGTAAAGAATCGTAGCATGCACGCATGCATACATTCTCACGTTACTGCACCCGTTGCTGCAGTGCAGTGCGATGATCCTCATATGTTTTTTTTCTCATTTTTTAAATCAATTCCATCGCACGGCCTTCATTATGCGTCCACAAGTGCCTTCACCGGTTCAGGTAGCCTGGTTTCACTTAACATGGCCTTAGGTATTCGACACGCTCGTTATTTTTTAATTATTATAGTCCAAATGAGATTTTGATATAGTGTAATATGATAATTTGCGAATGTTTTTTTTTTTATTTAAAACAAACCGGTATGATAGTTGATATCCTTTTGGTTTCGTGTTCGTTTTATATATTGATTGTATTAAATAATTATATTACCTGGATAGTTATTGGTGTCAGACGAGATTCCCGCTGTGTAAGCCATTGTGATCGACAGCATGTTTACTGAAAATATGCATAATGAATTTATAATAGCCCTCCCTGTCTGTCGTTCTGACTTGATCTTATAAACTAGTCGCGGAACATTTGTATACATGTAATATATGGACCAATTACATTCATAACATTTCTATGGTGAAAATATTTTTTATGTAATATTCCCGTGAATGTATCGTGTCTGGGAATATCGTAATCCAAACATGTATGTATGTAAAGGGACCTAATTATGGCACAGCGATGTTCTCACGTTAAAGTGCATCAATGTTTGTGTATACGTTTAGCATACGATTGTTTTAGTGTGGAGACGTATGCAGAGTAAACACCAAGCATCCCGTCTCACAGACCGGCCCGTCGAATCTGTGACCTGTTTAAATTCCATATACAATTAATTTATTCCAGAATGCAGCTTTTATATCTCCTCGAAATGTAAAGGGTCGGTTAGAAATAATCGTGAGATTGGATGATATGATAACGATTATGTTTTACTAATACACGTACATGTCTTGAGAGGTTTCGCTCGGAGGTTTTTTTCTTACATATTCAACATTTAAAATATCACTGTCACAAAACGCATAATTCATCCCGATAATGATTCTCCTTAAATATTTGTACATTCGTACATAAATTTGAAAATCAGAACCGTCGAAAATCCGGAATGACTTTGGCGAAGTTGAGCGTTTTGAATTTCTTACAACTCTTTATTAGGTGGTTGGAACGTTCGTAGAAATAATTATGTACGGTGCTCCAAAATATCTTTCATATTGAATGCAGGCGGACGCGACGCCACGCGGGGCGCCTATCGCTTCGATTCGTTACGTCAATCTTAACATTTTTTCACTACAAAATCTGCATAGAGTAAGTTGACATCGAGTCACAAAGCTAGCATGCGGCGTGGCCAGCATTGTCGACATTTCTTTATAAATATTTTGACATTTCCTTTATTTGTCCCGCCAAGTTATTTAACAAACAACGGCGTTTATCCTTTTGTGCGGTCTGTTTTAATTTTATTTATTTTTTATAACAGAATGCCGACGTCCACGCTTAGTTTTGGCGATGGACGCATTTGTCAATTTGTTAGCACATTCATGTCATTCAATAGCGAAATCAGACAATGCGATATACGTATATATGGCGTGTCTAATTATTCATGAGATTTATTGCTTTTCAATGCATTAAGTTTAAGTTTACAAAGACTGCCCTTAAATTGTAATTCTCCCAAAAAAAATTAAGCAAAATTTAGCTTTATCTTAGAACTTATGGAATGATTGAATTTTTTGCAGAGATGCAAGGAGAAGTTGAATACTCTGGCTATCAGTGTGATGAATCAGTGGCCGGGTGTCAGGCTGAGGGTGATCGAGGGTTGGGAGGAAGAGAACTCCCACTTGGAGAACTCCCTCCACTATGAGGGCCGGGCCGTTGACCTCACCACCAGCGATCGAGACCGCAGCAAGTACGGCATGCTGGCAAGACTAGCTGTTGAAGCCGGCTTCGACTGGGTCTTCTACGAGAGCCGCTCCTACATACATTGTTCTGTTAAGACAGGTATGTATACCCTCAATATATATTCATATGCATTCGGTATGAATTGATACCATTTAATCATTATTCACAGACAATCATATATGTAAGAATATTTACATTCTTGATCGACGCAATCAAATAAAAAGCCTTTCAATGAAAATCCGTTTCATGTACCCTACGTAAATTAATATTTTTTGTTTTATATTTGAATATGGAAAGTAAATAGTATTATTATAGAAGTAAATTTTATTGAAAATCACGCAGTAGTCCAAATTTTTGTAGTCCAAAACGTATGGGTACATAGCTTGATAGTATGGACCATATCTTAGGCCGAATATATAGTGAAGGTTTACAAGAAGAATGCACCTCGGACTTCCCGCGCGCGCTCTCAGGCGGTGTCCATCAAACGGACGAACGAGCCTCTTGTTAACATCCGTCCCTCTCTGACATCATATAAAACATATCTCCGTCCCGTTCCCACACAGCCGCATCGCAGCCAATCCCCCACTTCTATAATTACGCCGGTGATTCAATGGCTACTTAGCTATATGTATGTTACAACTATTTATATATGTATGAACATGTTTTAGTTATTATGATTACAATCTGGTCATGCGCATTCTTTTAATTTATACATTTTTAGGGCTTTCTATTATTAGGTAACATAGCTAGATTTAGATTTAAATTGAATCTAGACTTTGTTGCACTTAATTACATATGTGTGATATTGTTTCAAATAAAGAAATAGTGATGTTCTAAGCTCATAATTCATTCTATTATTTCTGGAAGCCTTCAAACGTTGTTCGTTCATTCTTCAATGTTTATTTACGCTTGTTTCGTTTTTTAATTATCATTTTAATATTAATTTGGTTGTTATAAATAAATGCGATTATATACCGGTCGTGAGCCCAAGCGTGGGTCAAGGACGTGGTACGCACGAATTTCTCCAAGCATCGAATTGGTCATATCATTTAGAGGCTTTCTTTGAATTCACTCAAATTGATGATCTTCGTTTAGACAAATATCGATTTTAATATCGATTTTCTATATATATAATAAATTAAAAGTCGATTATTTATTTAAAGCTCATTAAATGCGGCAGCATGTGATCGATTAAATAACTTTATGACACATTAAAGTACAAGCACGTATAAAACTTAATGCACGTCTAACACTTTTTCGCCTCAATCTATAGTTTTTTTGAATAAAACTCTCAACGGACCTTGAGAACCAGTTGAGAACATGATATATTAAATTAAAGAAGCGGATCATTTCAGCCAATAAAATTACAAGATTTTATAATCGTACCAATTAATTCGTTTTAATTGGCTGAAATTTATTCTATATTTTGTACAACCTTAATTTTTTATTGCAATATCATCAGATTGGTTAATAACGCTTATTGTCTATAATAATTTTATCCTTTCTGTTCTAATAGCGTATATTTTGTTACTATCTCCAGCGTTTTGTCAATATCAGTTGTCCCTTTAAAAGACATCAACGCGCTCAACGTAGAGACAAACACATTCAACTTGCTGTTACTTACTATAGGTGATATTTAAATAAAAAAATATATATGTAATATTACAACTAAACACTTTATCTTTTGATCGTATTAACTAGATATGATTATGAGTATGAAATGAATCTTAAATGACTTGTGTGATGAGCAGAGCCATCGCTTGTAGTATGAAACTTGTTGAAAAAAAATCAGCTAAGGTTTAAAATGGAGGAGGTACGTAAATGGGGCGTGACCGAGCGAGGCAGGTCACGAGGCTCACGTGAAGGACGAATACGACCCGCTCTAGGCGAGACGCTCCCGAGAGGCCTCGACGGACGAATACAACTAATTAGGTTCGAACTAAAGATTCAACTAAAAGAATCTTTTTCATATTGCAAAACCGATATAGTCCTGACGTTTTAGAATGGCTGTTTTTTGTTTGTCAATTAACGGGTTTCATTCGATGTCACCTGACACGCCGACAAGCCGACATCCCGGAAGGCTGCGGCCGGGACTCGATCTGTTCCCACACAACCGCATATGGACCAGTCGAATCATCACTGAACATTATGATCATATCCCGCATATATATGAACAATATGATCATTAATGAACATTATGATCATTGATGAACATTAATGAACAATATGATCATTTTGTTCGTTAAATATATTAACAATGCGTAAAAAACTTATATATTATATTAATTATAATTAGTTATTATGTTCCAATAAAACTTTATTCACAAACAACAAACTTAAATCTCTAATATATATATTAAATCATACTTACCATTATAATAATCAAAATAATATTTATTCACTTTTAGTTTCATTATTTAACCGATTGAATATTAAGAATGTATCAGTCATTAGCTGTAAAGAAACCATAGTAAGAAGTTCATCGCACCACACATTGAGCAAGATCACCAAACGGTGTGGATTACCATACATATTAAAACGAGAATTTCTATTAAAATATAAAACCTATTTAATACACCAACCTTCTTGAATAATCTATTATCCAATGTCATAATGACAGCAATAATTCAGCGACAAATTTAATATATTATGATATGTTCAATTATATTAGAAAGTATGTCATTAATGCATTGCTTGCGTAAAACGCGGTGACTGTTTTGTAATAACGTCTAATAAGATTTACTAAGTCTTTTGATTTACGATAAAAATATATAAAGTTCGGCTTTTTTTATTAGATATAGATAATGAGTGATTTTTTCACGAATAATTTAAATGAAACTAATATTTTACACATATTTTTTGCGAATTTATTTTTGATAAAAACTACATACTAACGAAAATTCGGTTACTTTGGTGATCAGGATTTGCTGTAAAGTAATATAAAAATAAAGTTGTGTATGTACTATATCCGAAAAACATTAGTTTCATTTAGATATAGATAATTAAATTTTAATGTTTAATTATTTATATAAAGTGTATTGTATGATTCACAAGTTACTGCCTGTCTCATGTATGCATATATGATGTATAAGTGTATATATATAATATGTATAATTGTATATATATATGTATAATATGTATAAGTAACTCTCAGTCTCGTGTATGACGTGTTTGATGTCGGCTAATTGATATTCATTAAAATATAAATCAGATTCTCCTCGAGCCGAGTAACCCTGGGGCGTTTTGGTATTTTATTTCGATATAATGTATGTAAAATTATTAAATTTCATACCTTTTGGTAGATTGATTTGCAATAGCTGTTATTATATTCTTTTATACGTTTTTTTTATTTAAATTGGGAAATGATAAATATTTTTTTGTAGTCAATGTTGATGTTGAGTCATTTAAAATTTTAAACAAGTTAAAATTCAGATGCAAACAATATGAAATCTAAAATTATTTACTTAATATAGGAGTAAAAACAGTTAACTAATATATACTCAATGTGAAAACGAGAAATTATTTAAATTTTTTATCATCATTTCAAAGTAACAATGTATAAAAATCACTTAACTGTTTCATTTAACTTAAAAACTCTCAATAAATCAATAAATTCATAATCCTTCATCATATATCACATGAATGTTCTGTTATTTGTACGATATCCACCGATCGTGTATGAGGTGCGCAGGCGCCGCCTAGCGCTGCCGGTGGTCCGTCGGGGCGGGGTCCTACGGGCCGGTACAGGCGAGCCTCCGCTCCCGCCTCCGCTCCCGCTACTCTTATCGCCATATCAACAGGCTTACGTCACGCGATTATATTTAGTGTTTTAAATTTAGTATTGAAGCTTTTGACACAAATGAAATAGCTATTTGACTTACTTAGCATTATTTTTTATTGTCAATTTTATGTCAATATAGAATCAAGACTAGTAAAGTATAGGTTTTCGGGTTATTAGGTTAACACTAAAGTTTTTTAAAAATTATATAGCTTTAACTGTTATTATTCTAGTTTTTATGTTATAATGAATGTGTAATTTTAGAAAATCAACGAATACGTTTAAATGACAGAAGTTGTAAATAATATAGTGTATCTTCGTCACAATTTAATATATAAAAAACGTTATATTAGAAAAAAAAAAAAATATAACTAAAACGTTACGAGTAAACAGGAAAAAACCTCCGTAATATACATATATGACATTTTTAACAATAGAAAACATTGGATCATAAATATTTGATGTATTGCAATTTGTTTTAACTATAAATCATTATCTGGATGACAATTGACTTTTATAACACGTGTTATTTTAAAGAATATATTGAATAGTACATAATGGTAATTATTTATTCTGTCAAGACGCAATAATGATGTAGTATCAAGTATATTCAATTATTAAACCGCTTCGGCTATGTAATAAATCTCCTGTAAATGATTATATTAATTTAATATCGTATTTATTGCACATAGAATATTCAAAGGAACGGTTGCTTTATAACTTCATTAATGCTTTATATAAATTACGATGAATAATCAAATAATTTTGCTAAGACAAATACATAGTACTTATTATTCGGTTTCGTAAGCAAAATCTTTAAGATGAGTAATAAAATTAAAGTTAGTTCAATACCAATAATAATGTCAAACAACTTATGTAAATTTGTCGAATTAATATTAACACTGACAATACTGATAAAATGATTTTTATATTTATTTCTTTGTTTGGCTTGATTAACATTATTTAACATTACTTACTGTACAATCAAAGTGGATTGGAATTTACATAAAAATGTCTTAACGATTGTAATTCTCTATGTAAGAAGGAAGCGGAAAGTCCTGGTGTGATATTTGAAAAGATAACGTGAGCTTAGAAAAGATTGCGTTGAAAAACAAGAGCAACAAAAAAATATTAAAGATGGCCGGCGCGGCGTGTATTCAATGATTTGTGTGATATTCAACCATCAACAAACAGAATGTGTACAATGCGCTTGACTTTAAACGAAATCTAATTTGTGCGGTTATTGTGAAATATGAGCGAGCGGTCCCAACGTTTTGTAGATGGGAATCATAAGAATTTATCGCTCGGTTACACAACAAATTAAAATTTAACGAGCTCTTGCAAATGCATAAGCTTTATCTTAATCCGTCACTGTGTCTGTTTGAGCGTGTGATTGCAATGCTATTACTTACTTCAGTGAAATTTAAGTGTCGGGTACTTTCATAATGACTTCTTTAATTCATACACTTGCACCTTCCGTTGTGGACGACGCGTGAACAATTTCTAGGTTTACCTTCAAATATTTCTTATTATCGAGCTGGTGTTTCTTTTCACGTGAACGGACATTTTTTATGCTCAGATTAAAGCCAGGTACAGTTTAAGCTGGATCAGGATTTTAGAATAAATACAATTAGATAATAAACAAATATATTTAGCCTGTGAAATATCTTCCATAACACGATTTTTTTAAACAATGGGTTAAAGATTAGTCAAAAGGGATTGAATTTTTTATTTTTTAAATTTGTTTAGGTTCACGGATATTCGATTCTTCGAATTTTTTATTTATAAGTAAATAATCTGCGTTCCGTATATTGGATTTTCGCATCGGTTTCTGACAAAAGAATTACCTGTATGAACACAAAGTTTAGTGGCCAAGAGATAAACCTGGGGCTGGCAACAAGAAAGCGTCTTCGATTCTCTTTGTTTCGTATCTTATCGGATTTTAATTACGAGCGTAGAGAAATCTCGTTTTTCCTTAAAGGGATATGACTACACAAAGTTAATTTACTTTAAACTTTTGCACGACTTTGTTATTCATTTTATTGCAATTAGTAAAAAGCATTGAGAATTTCATTGATTAGATTAATTGGTAATAATATAAAGTAAGAGTAATATATATGTATAATATTATAATACAAAATCTACGTAAATTATGTACTTCATATCTAAATGAATATGGTCAATCACCATGAAAAGGTACCATCATAAAAAAATAACTGTAACATTCTTACAATTTCTCACACTTTTTATGCATATTATACTAAGTTTAAAACTTTGTTCAAATGGTCACTTAACCGCTGACCGTAATAGCATATATTTTTTGTATGTATAACGTTTTTAAGTATTCTATTCTCTTTTACAGAATCATCGGTAGGAACAGGAGCAGGGTGCTTTCCTTCTGGGTCTTTGGTCCATACAGAAACAGGACCTAAAAACATCGACTCTCTTCAAAAGGGTGATCGAGTTTTAGCGGCCGATAATGATGGAAAGTTAGTGTATAGTGAGGTGAGTCAATAATCTTAATTAATCTTCTATATTAAATTCATAATTTATTAAAATAAATTCTTCTGTTTTCTGAATTATTGTGAAGTATTATCTGAATATATAAAATACAATACTACATATTTGGCTGTAAAAGAAATAATAACAGTTTGTTACATTTTAATAAAACTAATATTCTTCGATTACTACGCGTGATCACTGTTCCTGCACAGTAACGCAGAAACGTGTGGATTATGTACTTTTGAAGTAATATAGTAACGAGTAGTAATCCAGAAGTATTAGTTTTTTTTTTCAATTAATACTCGCGAAAGTCTTAAATCTCATAACTTTGTTACGTATTGTTAAAATAAAAAAATATTGTGTTCGTTATTTGTAATGAAATTATTATTTCAGGTTTTGACTTTCATTGATCGAGATCCGAACGCTGTACGTCAGTACATCGAATTTACGGCTGAAAATAATGCCACTATTACGACGACGCCGTCCCACCTCTTGCTGCTAGCCTCTGCTGACGGCTGGCGGGAATCATTCGCTGATAACGTACAGATTGGTGATTACCTTCTAACAAGAGGTCAGGGATCCGTGATGCGACCTTCTAGAGTTGTTAACATTAGAAGGGTATCGAAACTTGGATTATTTGCACCTCTAACGAGAACTGGGACTATCATTGTGGATGATGCTTTAGCGTCCTGCTACGCTCTCATCAATAGTCATTCCATTGCCCACGCTGCCATGGCTCCTTTAAGATGGTTGGCACAATGGAACAGAACTCCCGAACTTCCACGCGGTGTCCATTGGTATGCCAACGCCTTATATAATATCGGAGATTTCGTGCTACCCTCGTCGTACAAATATCGCTAACACAAAACAGTTTTCTGTGTTCTGTTGTGTACTTTTGAAGTGATTTACAAAAAAAAAATGCGCGCAGGACGTGCCTATTATGGACACATGTAAATAAAATCATGTAAATAACGTGAATGATGGTCATGAAATTGTATATATATTCACGAATATCAAATAGTTTCTTTTTACGTATAACCAAGATCATATACTATATAATTGTCTTTCTTCGGTATCTTGTCTATTTATTAAGTAGCCTTAAGTATGACTTTGCAAATGCACATTATTAGTTTATACAACTATTTGTAAATTGTGTCGGTATTGTTATTCTGCACAATGCAGAAATAATTATCTGTATGCGCTTATGTTTTTTAAGTAATTGTATAAATATTATAAGCCATTTATTAGCTAAATCTAAATTATGTCTCTTCGTTTATTTGTAGTGTTATAAAGTCTTTTGTGACGCAAAACAGTATTTGGTTTAATCAACTTTTTTTTTTGTAAACTTGACATTCCAAGGTTCTAATCTTTTACGCACTAACATTTAACTAACTTCGATTGTAATAAAATTGTGATCTTGGTACCTAAAACAGTGCCTTAAGATTTTTATTTATTAATTAGGTTAGTAATCTATTTAAAGATTTGACGAATACTATCATATAAAATTATATACTTCTAACTTATTCTATGGCTTTCGTATCTTTTATTCGCTAATTAATTATTTATTTTTTTTCTTTTGCGATATCATAATTGAGCCTTGCTTTATTTATTATTTAAATTTTAAGCGCCACTGTCGTATGACTAGGCTCTGTAACTTTCGCCTTAACATCGATATGTCTAAGATTACATTTTATTTTAAACGACAGCTTTGTTTGTATTTCATACAAATATATATAAAATTTAAAAGGTGAATGACCGATCGCTGAAAGGTTTTTCACGAGTACGTTATTAAGGTCATTCTTTTCTTGATAGTGTTTAGATTTACGGAATGATATTTTTATTGGTGATGTATCTTATTGTAACAGGAGTCTAAATTTTACACTACATACAATAAGCCATTGATCGTGTACAGATCTAGAACTGAAGTTTTCGTTCCTATAATGAATAGTAATGTTTACTATCTCGCATCAGTATTTAGAAATAATATTTAGGTTTGAAATTTTTTTTTTGTATGTTATGTATTAATAACAGTTTATTGAAGCTTTAACTAATATTTTGATAACATGCCATACGATATGCCATATTACATGTAGATGGTTTGATCTAACTATTTTATTGTTGTACTAACTATGAAACTTGTCTGTTTTATATGTCTAATGTATGTGTTTTGAAAATTGTACCAATAGATGTTTGTCGTATACACGATTTAGGCACAATTTATATACAAATGTACTGTAGGTATCAATTATTATAAACTATATATTCGGCTGACTTACTTCATGTAAATTATAAGGTTTCCATGTAATTATAGCGCTTTTATATTATTTATTTATTGATGTTATTTTTGTATTGATATAAAAGTTAAATATCCTAATATTACTTGTTTTATTTCCTTATATTAAATTTATTTTATATCTATAAATTGTATGAAATATTTTCACTTACAATTAATTAAATTTTAACGGTATTTTTCCAAGTTACTCATAAACTTAAAAAGACTACATTATGAAGTGATACGGTATATATATGTACTTAATAAATTTTAACATATCAAAACAATAGAAAAAAATTGCTTACAATTTTTTTGCTTAATACAAAAGTTTAACAATCTCGACTACCGGCGAAAGTTTTAACAAAGCGTTTTGGGATTATTTATCGCATTCATTATTCAGAATTACAATAAGATGATTCTCTTTTTGTAATTCTAAATAAAAGAAAGTTCTTAACTTAATTATAAAACTGAAAATGTTACTTTTTCTACTAACTTACTTTTATACTATTTTGTCGTTTTATTCGTATTCATCAAATTTACAGAATATCTTATTTAGTTTGTCCTTTTTTACTTTAATAAAGTTCTTAAGAAATTATAGTTGAAGTCTCCTTTATTAAAGTTTAATACAAATAACTAGGTGTAGTACCTACTGTCTTTTTTATTTTTTTATTTATAAGTTTTTAAACTACGAGACCTCCTTTAACTTAAATTGTTGAGTAATCTGGAAGAATCAGTGTTTAAATAGCTATATTTGTCATTTATTGGTAGATTAAATATGTATGATAAATGCTATAATCTGATGGAGTTAATATCTTTAAAATTATCAAGAGGAATTAAAGATTATTAAGTAGCAAATGTTTTTTCACACTCTTGCCTAATGAAAGGTTTAGGTAGGTATGAAAGTCAGAAATAAACATAACTGTTTCCTATCCATATTTGTAGGGAGAAGAACAGATTTGAAGAAAATTTTGTCCTATATTAAATTGTTAGTATATTCTTATATGGAATTGTAAGAATGTTATTTAAAAGTAGTATGAACAAGTGAAAATCCTGTTGAAATACTGACTTCTTTTTAATAATAAATATATATATGTATAAAAAAATATTGAAAAACTAAAAAATATACATACCTATAAACAAACTTTGCGATGCAACTTAGAGAGTGAATTAATTTCTAGTTACATAACGTACAATGTACATATTTGAACAGAAAACAGAAATTGGTTATATGGTAGTAAAAAAAATGTTCAAAATATAAAATAACTTATTAAATAAGTGAAAATACTGGAATTGGAAAACCATCATTTCCTTTTGTATTTATTAATTAAATATATATGAAATATTAAAAAAGATATATTTGGTATAACGATATAGATTTCTATTTAAAAAACAAGAGGTAAATGTTTTTCATTAAAAATAAAAAATAGAAATTCATCCTTTTAATCTAATTAAGAAAAAGTGGATCAAAACGTTCAAATATTTTCAAGGCGTTCTGCTTCAATCTCAGTTGTTTTCATTAAAAAAATATAGGGAAGAATTTTTTTTACGGAATTGTAATCTCTTAAATTCTGAGATGCTTAAAATATTTTTGTTTACTAATTAAGTATTCAATGTAATTAAAAATTCAATTAAAAATTCAATAATTAAAAATTCAATTTAAGTATTCAATGTGATTTGAACTTTCACTTTGACTAAATATTAGCAAATGGTTTTACTATGAATAGAAATCTTAAGATTAGTTGCACAGGTAATAATTGTAGATTTCTCAAATATGTTCTTTTATAAGTTATTAAAGGGGTCTCAAAACTATTACTATGATAATAACTACTCAATTGCATGTCTTTACAATGGTTAAAAATATTAAATTAATTCACAGGGTGGAATAAACCAAAAACATTAAAATACTATGTACATTCATCACCTGTTTTATTTAAACATAAGATCCTCTTATAAATAAATTACAATAACGCACATTTTATCCAAGTTACTTAAAAAAGTGGTCTTAATAAAACATAAAGCTACATTTTGTTCGCAAATTCATATTATTGAATTTATCAATTAGATTCAGAGAGACATGTATAATCATTAATAGCATCCGACAGCGCCATCTATGACTGTATTATATGACTTAAAACGAAGTTTAACTATATGCCTTTCATTTTGAAGGACAACAAGGAATTTTAAAATAAAATATATATAGGATTTTTATCATTATCTGTTTATTTTTTGATGTGGTAGAGCCTAGCTGTGGTCAAGTTACTGCAGCTCGAACATGGGCTGGATCGACCGGGGAACCTCTCATAGAAGATTGGCGTGAAGTAGTCTTTAATGTCTGTGTTTCGTCCTATGAGTGAGAGAGCCGGTTGCCTTTTCCCTTTTACGTTTCCCTCCCTTTCCCACCTTTTCCCCAATTAAGGGTGGCAAAATATCCGCAAAACTATGTTGTGGATGTCCATGGGTGATGGTACTACCTAATCTAATCAGGTAGGCCGACTGCTCAGTTGCCCCCTTCAGTATAAAAAAAATTAGTTTAAGTGTTATAAAGCCAACAACGTCCACCTCCTATTTATTTGTATATTGGTGAAAGTGGGTTTTGTTATCAAACGTTTCCGAGCAACAAAAAAATATGTGTCACAATATATTGTCCCTTTCCATGTAACATGAATATTAATAACCTGTATTGCAGCTTTTTCTTTTCATAATTACATAATTGATAATATATAAAGTAAACTATCTTTCCGCCCGCAGCTTCGCCCGCGTGGAGTTCGGTTATATCGCGTTTCCAAGAGAACCTTTCAAAAGTCTGGGATAAAAATTATTCTATGTTCTTTATCAAGGTCAACTCTATATCTGTACCAAATTTCATTAAAATCAGTTGAGTGGTTTAGACGTTAAAGCGTAACAGACAGACAGACAAAGTTACTTTCGCATTTGTAATAATAGTAGGGATTATATTATACAGAACATGTTATAAGTAAATACAACGTTAACGTTCAAAAGAATTTCTAAATCAGAAATTACTTTGTAAAATAAGTGAAGCAAAGCGAAATTAATTATACATCAAACTAATAAGAGTCAAATAAAAGCTAACACTTGAGTTTTATTTATTAAAATTCTATATGTATTAGAATCTATTTATAATTTTTTTTAGGTATGGTATTTGAACTTGATTCTAAAACTCTGGAATAAGTTACAGATAACTTTAAGCTACGGTATAACATCTTAAATAAGTGAATCTTATAATTCAGGAGTCTTTTGTGTTTTTATTCCATTTAATCGGTGTGGTAACTAGAGTTAGTGTAAAAATTATTGTGATCAATGAATTTGTTTGAATTTTTTCAGTTGGTAATTTCAAAAAAAAAAAACCTATATAAAGACATATATTTGACAGCTTATATATTAGTTGTTAAGGTCAAAATAGGGATATTGCATTGTGATACCAAGTATATATTTTTTTAAATGTACTATATATGCCAAACGCGCAGACTGTCCACCCTATTGTAAGTAGTTAACGTCGCCTTGTTCATTTGCAATATAAGAGGTAAAAATATGTTGTTAGATTTAAAAGCTGAGGGAAAATATCTAGGAA